CATAATAGTGTTAATTATATTGTATTGGGTCTCATCATGGATGACGTTTGACTTTGGAATTTAGTTTTGCATTTGGCCCTCTTCGTACTTGTGCAGGAGTTTTTATTCGTTCCTCACCTAACAAGAGGCAGCAACTCTGGCCTTACAGTCAAGCTACATTTGCACCCTGTAAAATCCCAACAAAAAGGCAAGAGCCAGTACCAGCTGCTATATATTAGAACATTGTGTACACCCAACACCTGTTAAAAACACTCTAAAAGGGAGCCACAGGAATAGTAAACAGAGAAGCCTATCTTTTGATCACACCCAACAGGAGACAATTTGGAGTGTGCTTAAGAATACACCATTATACATTCATCTAATTAACACAAATACAATAGCACCACAATGCCTAAAAAGCAGCAGAAAGTTTCTGCTTATGTGTAGAAACAAGACAGAGTAGCTTAGACAAATGACCAAAGAGAAAGAGCTAGGATTGGTATTAGAGGGTGAAGAGACTCTAGAATTGGATGAAGGGGAATTATGAGAACGATATTGAGGTGCATCCAAATGTCCCACAGAAAAGCCAAGGAAAACAGGGAAGTAGTCAGAAAAGCCTTACAGGAACAGGAAACCAAGATTGAAACAGTGTTCAAAACAATAAAGACCCTGTAGAAAGAGGTCCAGATGATTAATGCCAAAATATCAGAAATGGACAACACATTGAAAGGGCAAAGGAGTAGAATTGAAGATATGGAAACCAGAATCAATGAACTTGAAGACAAATCTCTCAATAATGCTAAGATAGAAGAACAATCAGAAAAAAAGAATAAACATACCTGAAGAAAGCCTAAGATCCATGTAGGACAACATGAAGAGGAGTAACTTCAGGCTGATTGGAATTCCAGAACAGGAAGGGACCAAAACAGCAAGAACAACAACAACAACAAAAACACCCAAACCTACAGAAGAGATAGTCAAAGAGCTGCTGGAAGAGAACTTCCCTAACATCTTGAAGGATGAGAAGATAAGCATGCAAGAAGCTGGACAAACCCCAGAAAGGATAGACCCCAAAAGAAACTCACCAAGACATATCATAATCAAACTTTCCAAAATCAAAGACAAATTTCAGGAGAGAATCCTGAAAGCAGCTGGGGAAAAAAGAAAGGTTACATACAAAGGAAGGCAAATAAGATTAAGCTTTGGCTACTCAGCAGAAACCATGCAGGCAAGAAAACCATGGGGGATATATATATAAAACTCTGAAAGAAAAAACTTCCAACCAAGAATCATGTACCAAGCAAAGCTGTCAATCAAATATGATGGCAAAATCAAAACATTCCAGGATAAACAGAAATTAAGTGGTTTTGTAAAGGCCAAACCAACACTCCAAAACATACTAAAGGGAGTTCTTTGGACTGAGAATCAGCAAAACCAGGCAACAACCAGAGACTGACATATGTGGCAACACCACCTGGACCTCAGACCAGAGATGGAAGTGTCTAGGGTTGAACAAAGCTACAAAATTGAAATTAGCAGTGTTGGGAGGTCAGTTCATGAACAGGACAGACACAAAGCAAAGTAAGGGAAAAGTATAGTAACAGAGACCCAGGTGGTAAGGAGGTCAGGTAGATCTCAGAATAAAACAATCTGTCATAAAAAGAAGATCTCAATAAAGTATAGGGTAACTTCAAAGAAACTTGTTACAGCTCCATATCAAATCAAGAAAAAACTATCCAAAAAGAGTATAGAAATATTAAAACTCTGAACAAATTGAAAAGAAGAAACATACAAAAAAATGAACTCAGCATAGGAAGGCATATGTACCAAAGAAACCAGCAGCACCACAAGAAACAAACAACATAATGTCAGCAATTAATCCATAGCTATTGATACTTACGCTAAACGTCAATGGATTGAATGCAACAGTCAAGAGCCAGAGAATGGTGAAATGGATAAAAAAGCGTACCCTAAAATATGCTGCCTCTAAGAGACTCACCTAACACACAAAGACAAAGACAGATTAAAAATTAAAGGATTTAAAAACGTATACCAAGCTAATTGCAATAAAAAATGAGTAGGAGTGGCAATATTAATCTCAGGCAAAATAAATTTCAAAGCAAAGACCACCATAAGAAACAAAGAAAGTCATTATTTTATGGTTAATGGGTCAACTGAACAAGAGGACTTAACCATAATAATTATCTATGCTCCTAATGAAAGAGCCCCAAATTACATAAAGCAAACACTTTGATGAAAGAGATAGACACCTCTACAATAATAGTGGGAGATTTTAATATACCACTTACGAAAAAGGACAGAACAACCAGAAAGAAGCTCAGCAGAGACACAGAGGAACTGAACAACACAATCAACCAACTTGACCTCATAGATCTGTACAGAGCATTCAACCCAATAGCAGCACAATATGTATTCTTTTCCAGTGCACATGGATCATTCCCCAAAAGAGAGCATGTGTTAGGCTACAAAGCAAAGCTCCATAAATTTAAAGACATCAAAATATTACAAAGCATCTTCTCAGACCACAATGCTATAAAATTAGAAATCAGCAATAGGAAGATTAAGGAAACAAAATCATATACATGGAAACTGAATTACACCCTGCTTATAAGCGACTGGGTGGTAGAACAAATAAAAAGTGAAATTATATCTCATTATGGGAATAACTACATCTCAACTGTCAAATCACTAAGAATCCTGCCCCAATCAAGTTGACACAAAACCTTAACTAGCACATTGCTGGGCAATACCATAAATATTACATTTAAGTAAACTTTAGCTGAGGATAATTTAAAAATGTTTGCTGTAGTACATCAACAGGGAACTACCAGAAATTCAAGCTGGATTCAAAAGAGAATGTGGAATGAGGGATATCACTGTTGAAGTCAGATGTTTACTTGAGCTTTATTGACTATGCAAAGGCATTTGACTGTGAGGATCATAACAAATTATAGATATGTGTGTAGTGGTATCTTGTATTGATTTGCAATTCCTTAATGACATATGACAAGTACTGTCAAATACTGAATTGCTAACCACAAGGTCGGTGGTTCAAGCCCACCAGTTGCTCCTTGAAAGAAAGATGAGTCTTTCTGCTAAGATTTACAGCCTCAGAACCCTATATGAGGATGCTATGAGTTGGAACCAACCCTACAGCACTTAGCAACAACAACAACAATATAAATATTGGTATGGATATGGAGCAACTGGAATTCTCATATACTGTTGGTGGGAATGTAAGATGGTACAGCCACTTTGGAAAAATACTTGACAATAGCTACTAAACCCATCCCACAGGCTTACAATTTGTTCCAACAGCTTCATATGCTTAAAAATGATGCATATACGAATGCTTATAGCAGCTTTCCTCATTCTATCCACTACTATCGAGTCAATTCCTACAGGGCAGAATAGAGCTCTACCATAGGGATTCTGAGATTGTAAGTGTTTATGGGCATCAACAGTCTCATCTTTCCCCTGAAGGGTGGCTGGTGGATTTGAATTGCTGACCTTGTGGTTAGCAGCCCAACACTCAATCCACTGCACTACCAGGGTTCCATGTTTTACTCATATCATCTTCAAATTAGAAATGATCCAAGGACTCAAGAAGAAACGGAGTAATAAGTTAGCACATGGATAATTTGATGACATTATGTTGAGTAACAGATCAAACACAAAGAGTACTTATGTGTGCTTCCATTAATATGAGATTAAAGAACAGGTCACTGTAGTTTATGGAGACAGATGAGAATAGTAGCTACCACTGCGGTTGTCAGTGGTAACTGGTAATGTGGAAATTGTCTATGTTTGATAACATTGTGATTGTGGTGGTGGTCCATGCCATCAAGTCGGTTCCTACTCATAGAGACTCTGTATAGGGTTGCTGAGGCTGTAAATCTTTAAGAGAGCCAGAAAGCCTCATCTTCCTCTCAAGGAGTACCTGGTGCATTCAAATTGCTGATCCTGTGGTTGGCAACCCAATGGGTAACCCACTAAGCCACCAGACCTCCTTGTGGTGACTATATGTTGTTGTTAAGTGCTGTTGAGTCGATTCCAACTCATAGTGACCCTGTGTAGGGTTTCCAAGGAGCAGATGATGGGTTTGAACCACCGACATTGTGGTTCAAACTGACCTTACAGTTCAGTGCTTATCCTACTGTGCCACACCAGGACTCTGGTGACTACATGGGAGTATGCATATGTAAATATCACTGAGTTCCACAATTATAGTTACTGCAATTTACTCCCTGTATATTATACCTCTAGAGTCCACTGTGGGTTAGTGCGCTGGAATGCAAAGTCAGTTGAACTGTAAAGTCAGTGGTTCTAGTTCACCAGCCACTTCTTGGAAACCCTATACAGGGTTGCTATGGGTTGCAACTGACCCGATGGCACTTAACAACAACAACATCATATTATACTTATATAAAAAGAAGAATGTAGTTTGTGATGGTGGTCATGTGTTGTGGTATTGGTTCCAACTCAAAGTGACCCTTCATAGGGTTTCCAAGGTTGTAACTCTTTATGGGAGCAGAAAGCCTTATCTTTCGCCCACAGAACTGCTGATAGTTTCAAACTGCTGGCCATGAGATTAGCAGACTGACTAGTAACTACTATGCTACCAGAGCTCCTTAAAGTTTATGGAGGACGAAGTATATACCACACAGTGAGGAGACACTTGTAAACAAGACAGCCCTACCTTGCACATCCAGATTGACTGTCACATGGGAAAGTCAATAAACTATCAGTTACAGGAAGTAGGATACCCCCATCTACCTTCCTTCAGCCTTAGGGATTGCTCTTGAGTCAGAATATCCCCAAATTGACCCATTTGCAGCTCAGGCACCTTTGTGTCTGTGAACTCCACTCTTAGCAGCATATAGGAAACATAACATCACTCCACTCAAAGGGAAATTTGGAGAACTCTGGTGCTTTGGTGTTTTTGAAATGCATTGATACCAGGTTTGTGTCATTGACTGAGTTTCCCTCTCTGTCCCCAGAGCCTGTGGCAGTGTTTGCCAAGGAGCAGCCAGCACAGAAAGAGGTGAAGATTGAGGCAGGGGCCAGTGCCTCGCTGAGTTGTGAGGTGACCCAGGCTCAGACGGAGGTGGCGTGGTACAAGGATGGGAAGAAGCTCAGTGGGAACTCGAGGGTGCATGTGGAGGCCACAGGCTGTGGGCGGCGGCTGGTGGTGCAGCAGGCGGGCAAAGCAGATGCTGGCGAGTACGTCTGTGAGGCCGGGGGTCAGAAGGTGTCCTTTCGCTTGGATGTCACAGGTGGGTGCCATTTTGCTTTGGAACATCATTAGGCAAACTTAGATGTTTGAAGGGTTAGACATGCTGCCTCATGGTTTGTTTTCTCACAAACCTTCCAGTATATCAATAATGTGTAGTTATCAACTATGTGCTAAGTTCCAGACCTTTGCGAGTACTTCTTTTCTTTGTTTAAAAATATTATCTTATTGAAGCTTTGGTGAAAGTTTGCACGGAAAAGGTAGATTCTCATTTGACAATTTCCACACAGTTGTTCTGTGCCATTAGTTACATTTATTATAATGTATCAACATACCCTATAATTGTGTTCTGTGTGCTCCTTTTCTAGTTCTCTAGTTTCCCTGCCTCCTTCCCTTCTTTTCTTTGTTTTTGAGTAATTGTTGACCTTTTGGTCTCATACAGATTTAAGTACAGCACCAATCTTATGGGTCATATCCTTTATGTTGTGTGCCACTGTGCTTTTTTGCTAAAAGGTGGTCTCGGGGGATAGGTTCGGTTTTAAGATTAAAAAGTGTCTCAGGGGGACAGTCTCAGGGAGTCTTCTGTTCTCTACTGTGTGGTATGTTTTTTTTGGTTGTTGTTAAAAGGATTGTAGTTCTACTCCACATTTTTCTCCCAATCTATCTGAGACCATCTGTGTGACTCTGGTCTGAATTGTCAATGGTTGTAGCCAGGTACCATCTAGTTCTTTTGTCTTTTTACTTGTAGATACTTCTTGTCTTTTTACTTACATAAACTTTACAACTGCTCTTTAAGGGATTGGTGACTGTCTCTATTGTAAGATAAGGCACAGGGAAGTTTGTTACTTTTCCAAAGATTGTTACAGCCAGAAAATGGCAGAGTCAAGATCTAGGTCCAGTACTTTGAAACCATTTTTCTTCTGCTTAAAGAACTCTGTCTAAAATAGCTAATGGTGTGGCACTGTGGGTTAATGTGTGGACTGCAAAGACGGCTTGAACTGCAAGGATGGTAGTTCAAGCTCACCAGCTGCTCTTTGAGAACCTTCTACGGGGTTGCTATGGGTCAGAACCTACTCAACAGCACTTAGCAACAACAACAACTGGTGATACACATGCTCTGGAGCTTTGGTGTCTGTGAAATGGGGTAGCATCAAGTTTGTGTGTCTGACCTGTGTCCCTCCTTGTCCACAGAGTCCATGGTGGTATTTTCCAAGGAGCAAGCATCCCGGAGCGAGGTGCGGGCTGAAGCGGGGGCCAGTGCCACACTGAGCTGTGAGGTGTCGCAGGCCCAGACAGAGGTAGCATGGTACAAGGATGGAAAGAAGCTGACTTCAACCTCAAGGGTGCACGTGGAGACCAAGGGCCATGGGCGGCAGCTGGTGGTGCAGCAGGTGGGCAAGGCAGATGCTGGAGAGTACACCTGTGAGGCAGGGGGACAGAAGGTCTCCTTCCACCTGGACATCACAGGTATTTGAAGAAGATGATGGTACTAACCCAATGGACCCTGGGGTCTTCTGTGCTTAAATTCAATGTCTTTCTATGTCTCCCATCCTCGTATTGTTCCATATTTCTGCCGGGAGCAAAGGAAGCTGAGAGAGTATGTACTGAAGGTCTGTTCCTCCTTTCTCGTGGTATTTCCAGGCAGGAATGGTTTTAGGAATTTGACTCTGTCTGGTACTTAGGCTCTGAGGTAGCTTGTACATCTCTCACCAGTGATATGTGAAAACCCCCCTATTGGCTGGTCTGCCAACTAGCACATTCCTTACCCAGCTCGTCACTAACAAGAGATCTTTGAATTCCACTGAGGCACAAGGAAGGGACACTTAAGCCACCCAGTTATACTGGCATTATCTCAAAGCTGATCTTTTATAAAAATAATTATTTTATATTTGTTGTTGTTGTTAAGAATATACATAGTAGAGCATCCACCAGTTCAACAACTTATACAATTTGGTGACACTGAGGATATTCTTTGAGTTGTGCAGCCATTCTCACCATTGTTCTCTGATCTGTTCCTCCCCCATTAAAAAAAACTCACTACCCCTTAAGTTTCCTATCTAATCTTTCAAGTTTTGTTGTCAGCCCGATCTCTTACAGATTTTAAAAGTGCACAATGCTCAAGGCAAACATTCTTTACTAGTTAGGCTGAACTATTTCCTTTTAAGATGACTTCAGTGGATATCTTTTGTTTATGGTTTAAAGCTTATCTTAGGGCAGTAGTTTCCAGGGTCCATCGAGCCTTTATGGCTCCATGCCACGTCAGGACACTGATAATGATGAGTGACTGTAACAGCAGCCACTGACAGATAAAGCAGTGTTTATTTAATGTTGTTGTTATTGCTGTGTTCCGTGGAGTCAGTTCTGACTCATGAGTTTATTTAATAGCATCCCCTTAATGGTCAGCATTTGTACATTCTTGGCTGATTCATAAAGAAGTCTGTGAATGAACTGTATTTTCATTTTGTTGAGTCTTGACCTGAAATTCGGGTGCGTTTCCAAATGTGACCACTAGGGACATAACATGACACGTATATTTTTGATAAGTGTTGTAGTAGAGTTAGTTCCCACTCATGTTGTTGTTGTTGTTATATAGTGACCCTTTATAGGGTTCCTGAGGGGCAGGCAACTCATGGATTTGAACCAGTACCTACCCTACAGCACCACACTAGGACTCCTGACATTTTCATATTGTACCATTATATAGCGTAGTGGTTACGAATCGGGCTGCGAACTGCAAGGTCAGCAGTTCGAAACTACCAGCTGCTCCACGGGAGAAAGATGAGGCGTTCTGCTCCCGTAAAGATTAACAGCCTTGGAAACCTTGTGCAGGGTCGCTATGAGTCGGAAACGACTCCACGACACACAACAACAACAACAACAACCATTATATAGTAATGCTTTTGTGGGTGTAGACACCAAACACGCTTATATGTCTCTCTTGAACCTCATTGTAACAGAGCATCACCGATCACTACATGAAAATATTTTTTAAGAGTTTAAAAAGATTTACCATTTCCTAGGAATCATTTGACTTATGAAGAAATAGTCAATTGAAACAGTCCTATAACTGTTAAAACAATAGTTAAAAATCTTGTCACAGAGCAGGCATCCTGACCACCCAGTCCATCCTCTCCCAGAGCACTGTGAGCACAGGGGCAGCCTCATGAATCGCCCCACAAGGAAGCATCCCACATGTCTTCAGTGATAAACAAAAATCCTCAATCCAGTACCATTGAGTCTGTTTCGACTCACAGCGAATCTATATAGGATGTCTGAGGTTGCAAATCTTTACGGGAGCAGCCAGCCTCCTCTTTCTCCCATGGAGTGGCTGGTGGGTTTCAATTGCCCCTCTTGTGCTTAGCAGTCCAGAGCTCATCATGCAGTTCCTTGTTATCTCTGGTTGTTGTTGTTAAGTGCTGTTGAGTTAGTTCCGACCCATAGCAACCCCGTATAGAGTTTCTGAGAGCAGCTGGTGAGCTTGAACCGCTGACTTTGTAGTTCAAATGGCTTTTCAGTCTGGTGCATAAACCCACAGTGCCAAACCAGGACTCCCGCTATCTGTGGTTGTTGTTAAGTATCGTGGAGTCGGTTCTGACTCATAATGACCCTGCACAGGGTTTCCGAAGTGGTAAATCTTTACAGGAGCAGAAAGCCTCATCTTTCTCCCATGGAACAGCTAGTAGTTTCGAACTGCTGACCTTGAGGTGTGGCACTGGCCGCCGCTTCAGCCCGATTAGTAACCACTGCACTACCAGGGCACTGGAATCCAGGATTTCTTTGCCCAGTGCTGTCTTCCTGACTTAGATGGTATCTCTGACGTCATGTCCCTCTTTTCCCAGAGCCCAAACCGGTGTTTGCCAAGGAGCAGCAGGCACAGAATGAAGTGCGGGCTGAGGCGGGGGCCAGCGCCACACTGAGCTGTGAGGTAGCCCAGGCACAGACAGAGGTGACCTGGTACAAGGATGGGAAGAAGCTGGATGCAAGCTCGAAGATGCGCATGGAGGCCACAGGCTGTGGGCGACGGCTGGTGGTGCAGCAGGCAGGAAAAGCAGACTCTGGGGAATACAGCTGTGAGGCCGCAGGCCAGAAGGTGTCCTTTCACCTGGATATCACAGGTGGGTACCTGAGGCTCCTGTTTCTTCCTGAGGAGCCTGTGGTTGGGGAGGCTTGTTTGGTCACAAAGCTCTTCCCATCACAATATTTGCAATTTCGAGCTACAACCCCAGCACTGGTCAGCACTGTGCTCTTTCTCCCCTGTAAGCTCCTTATAGGAGTGGTGGTGGTGGTTGTGTGCTGTTGAGTCAGTTCCTACTCATATCGACCCCGTATGGGGTTTCCTGTAAGTCTTTATGGGAACAGAGAGCCTCATCTTTCTTCCACGGAGCGCTTGGTAGATTCAAACTGCTGACCTTGTGGTTGGCAGCACTGTGCTACCAGGGCTCCTTCCCCATGCCTGGATATTGCTATGCATTGATTCTAGTCCCTTCAGCTGGCCCGGCCTCAGGGCCTCTGCTCCTACACAGGCCCATCCTGGACTTGGCTTCCTCCCATCTTGTACGTCCTCTAGGACATCTAGAACCCAGTGTGATCTCACAGCCTCTTCAGTCAGCACCCCTCACTGTTGGTTGAATCCATTCTCATTCCAGTTCCCTGAGTGATCATGCTCATGTGCACATGGGATCCTGGCCTTCCCTTGCCAGAACGCTCCATGGCCCCAGTAAACTCAGGATTCAGTCACAGGTTTTGATGGTCCCTGAGGGCCTGCTGGAGCCTAGCCTGTCCACTCCTCTCTTTTGTCTGTACATAACAGCTTAATGAACTTATTTATTATGCTCATCATAACCTATTTAAAATTTTATTTAATTAAAAATTTTTTGATATGATAGATTCAGAAGAGGTTGCAAAGATTGAAGGGTGCCCTTCACCCACCCTGTTTATCTCAAAGGTTACATCTTAAATGCTTTGTGGATTCCTGCATTTGCTACCTCAACTGAGATACAGAACCAGGACCACAAAGAACTCTCTTGTGCTGTCCCTCATACTCACCCCATCATCATCCTGGCAAACACTAATCTATTCTCTATCTCTGTGATTTGTCATTTTCACAATGCTATGTAAATGGAATCATACAGTGTGTAACCGCTACTAATAGGAAGCTTTTTCACTCAGCATAATTCTATTGAAATCCATCCAGCTTGTTGCATGCATCACTAGTTTGCCTTTTTTATTACTGAGTCATATTCCAAAGTATGTATGCACAACAATTTGTTTAACTATTCACCGACTAAAGGACATCTGAGTTGTTTCCAGTTTTTGGCTATTGTGAATTAAGATGCTGTGAACAATCATGTATAAATTGCTTTAAAAAAAACCTTATATTTCTGGGATGTTGTTGTTGTTAGGTGCCATCGAGTCAGTGCCGACTCATAGTGACCTTATGCACAGTAGAACGAAACACTGCCCGATCCTGGGCCAACCTCACTACTGTTGCCACGCTTGAGTCCATCAATGCTGCCACTTGGCCAATCCATCTTGTTGGGGGTCTTCCTCTGTTTCTCTGACCTTCCACCTTACCAAACATGATTTCCTTCTCCAGCGACTGGTCCC